TAATACACACGTCTTTCAACATCAATCAATGACTTAATATACGGAATAAAGGACGCGTACCGATTGGAAATGTAGCCCAGTGGTTCAGTCGCTATCACCAGCGTGCTTGATCCCTATGGTTCGAAGTTTGAACCCCGCCACCACCATCCAACGTAGGCAGCTTTGTTGTCGTCCGGTTCAATACCATGCCTAACCTATCGGGGTTTAGGTTGCTTGTTTCCATCATTGAACAACAAGTCTTCACGACTATGGAATTTACCCAGTCTATTGTTCATCACGAAAAGGGGAGTAAATTATTAAAAAAAAATAACAGGTTGAAAACGGGTGAACTAATTCAACTAATGAGATAGTTACAAATATTCTATAATTGTCAACATATTTGCTTAGTGTACCCTGAGTCGGTAGTACAAACTGAGAGCGGAAGGACATGGATCATCGTTCAATGTTGGAGTTGAGATTTTAAGGAATATGGATTAATGGTATCGGTGATAGTCTCAAGTGCGTCATGCGAAAGGCTATGAATTAGTACAGATTAACCGCGAAGCAACCAAAATTAACGAAAGTGAGTGGTTAATGGTTGCACAAACTGAACTGAACTGGACTGCATGGCAGAATACCGATGAACAAACACCTAAGGTTGTTATTTCGTTTCAGACTTTCCAATATTTTTGATGCAAAAGCACAAATGCAATAGCTAATATTTCCGTAATTCGTATTTTTGTTGAACTTATGACGATAAACATTTTCATTTTGTAATAAAACCATCGAAAACTGTGGGGTTAATTGAGATTTAGTATCGTGTACTCAGAATCTCAGAATCTCTAACGGGGCGAACAAAACCAAGTGATACACGCTAACGTACCGTGTCGGAAATACATCACGCAGCATACGTAACCCGTGGTTGAAACGCGCCAGACCACTGGAAGGATCTGGAAGTCGAGGAGGTAGCATCCCGTTGGAGTCCACAAAAGGCATGTTATGGTTGGGCTGCATCAACTTTGTGGGTCGATTTACTGGGTCTAGTTGTCCAGGATTCATTGTTAAAAGAAGAGGATTGGTGAGTTGACCAGACCAATTAGTTAACGAATCTTGACCGCGAATTCCACCCGGTTGAACAGTTGTTGTGTTTCGCATCACCGTCGGATCAACCAAAGGTGATGGCATAATCCATCCACACTCCACTCCGGACGGCATCAGATTAGATGGCGTGGACGCATCCACAGTTGGGTTAAAGTGGCCCACGGGTTTTCCACCGTCTAGTCCATTACCACTCGTATTTGGACGCCAAGATCCTATACGCTTTGGATTGGTTGCAGACTTTGCAAATTGACTGGTCTGATTTGATCTGCTGTTTTTGGTACGATTTGTTCCAGGAACGTCATTCGGCGCACGAGGCGTAAGAACAGTTTTGTGAATACCCGTTTCATTCCCTCGCCGAACGAAAGCTGAATTTTGTGGTCGACCAACAACCTCCATCGCACGGCGCTGACCCAGTGCATCAGGTGCTGTCGATACTGCTGAATTCTGGGCATGCACAACAGTATTGGTTTTGAAGCCGGATGACATCATTGAATTCGCGTGTTTCGCCGACCACTGATTGGCTAGAGGCGGTGGAGGTATTGGATTCCAGTGCGAGATTCGAGAATCGAATCCGCGCTCGTCAGGCTTTGTAGCTCGAGCGGTTCCGGTCAAAGGAAGCGTAGAATTAGAGTACCGGTTGCATACGGACAACCAATGGTCCGGTACGGGAAGAGAGCTATAAAACTCTAGCAATTCGGGTAGTTGTGAACCCACGGGAGCAGTGGAATTCATGTTATAGGCTGTTGAATTCATATGCCCACGCGCATCACCCGTCCCACGTTGAGAAACCGTAGACGTACCTCGGTCAGATGCTAGAGTAACACGGTTGTTGTTAGCATTATTATTATTACTGTTTGCTGTAGGATTTATGTCAAAGGTGTTTTCATATGATTGCGGGTCGATTGAGCGATTGGCACCGTGGACATGGCTGGATGCGTTGGTTTCGAGACCGGCCCAAGTGTTGTGACGCACACGCGTATTGAAGGCTGTGTCTACTGAGGGATCGTAGGTTGATGGATAATGAGTAGCGTATTGTCCGAATGAAGCTGCATTGAATTGGGATTGAGCAGTATTAGGATCGGTGGAAATCATGGCTGGGAGGAATTCGACCATACCGTGAGGCAGTCCAGAGGCTGTCAAATGACCCGGTGGTTGTTGAATAGTTGAGTTTGTGTAGAAGGATGGGTGTGTACCGGCTGGTGCTTGATGTATGGGTAACGCCGCAGCGTAGCTCGGATGTGTAGCTGGCGTAGGAGCTCCAGACAACGGTGTATGTGGCATTGCACGAGGATTGTGCGACCCGTTTAACTGAGCACTGTGTTTGGTATTGTACGAACCCAACTGTATACCTGGTCCCACAGCCTGCGGTTCTGCTACGTACGATGGGGAAAGAGTGCTCTGGCCCAGTTGATTGGTCATGTTTTGCTGACCAACGAAACCGTGCACAAACAGGGACTGCCCCGGGGTCGAAGGATGAGAAGTGGAAGAGTGCAAGATGCTTGAAGGATCGTTGCGCAATGAAGTCACTGCTGTAGGCACGCTAGTCGGTGCCTGCGTTAGTCCATTTGGTGCTGCCGCTACAGCGAACGGCACTTGAGCGCTCATAGTTTGAAGAGTTCCGTGTGTATTGCCAGAGAGACCACCAGAAGGATGGTAGCCTTGATTGGCTAACTGAGAAGCGACTCCCGGCAACTTCACCCCGTGTTGATATTTGTAACTCTGCAAAAAGTGGACAGACATCAAAGGGAACAGGTGAAAATGCCCAGAAATTTCAAGTTGAACGAACAAAATCTAAAATTGGTGACTGGAAGACTCAAATCATATACCACCAAATTATTGCAAAATTGAAAAAAGTTGGGTATTATTTTCTAACCAAACTTAGTCAAGCATGCTAAACGGATAGGATAAAAAGCCGGAATCCCCATCTTCAGTTTTATTACCTTTATCACACTCCAAGTGTTTGATAATTTATGTTAATTAACTGGCAGGAACTAGTTTTCTTCCAACTGCAATTAAATATTTATAGCTAGCAAGGTCGCCAATACTCCCAGAACCATGAGCTGAGTAAACAACCAAACCACTTCGCTTTTCAAAAAGTGTGTTAGGGATCGCTTAGGTCGCAGTCAAAACTAAGCTTAAACTTGTATCTCTTGCGTATTCGTTTGTACCTGCTACGTTTCCGAAGGTTCGATCTATGGTGTAGAAGACTGTGCAGAAGCGCCTGCCGACAGCGTGGCTTTGAGTATGAATACAACAGGTAAAAATTCAGCGTTGCCGTTCAATACGATGCCCACTCTGAGGGAACCAGCTGAAAGAGCTTCATCGTATTCACGCGAAGTAGCTTGAGGGTTGACCCATGGTAGGTCGGCAGCTGACGCCAGTACGATCTTAAATTCGTATATTTCAGAAGCAGCAATTATCACTAGAGTCCACTGAAAGCGCAAAACAAGCCTGTTAAGCGACCTGCTTGAGAATTCGCACAGTGAAGCCACCTTAACCTCGTAGCCTCTATTAATACCTTACTGCGCAACATTTGGATGCAAGAGCACATTCCTTCATCTTGGGGCGAATCAATGATCGTTCCCATTTTCAAGAAAGGATCCCGCAACGATTGCGAAAACCACCGTGGGATAAGTTTGATCCCGATCGACACCAAAGTGCTAACTTTGGTTATACTTCGACGTCTGACGCCTTTAAGAGAGACCAACATCCATGAATGGCACGCCGGATTCCGGCCTGGCCGTGGATGTATTGATCCGATTTTTACGTTGCATCAGATCCTTGAGCTGCGTCATACCCACCGTCGACCAACAATTACAGTGTTCCTTGATCTGGAAGGAGCCTTCGATTCAGTTGACCGCGAAGCTCTGATGGGCTCCCTTCTTCGAAAATGAA